CCCCAAAACCCCAAAACCCCAAAACCCCAAAACCCCAGAGACCAAGGATTTAAAGACTACCCAAGTTCTACTGAATAATTAATTAATAAAATATATAATAATTATGACTCGCTTCAATATTAAGGGCAAAACCTAGGGGAAATCAGCAGTTCCTTCTTCTGCTGGAGTTAAAAATAACGTAGTTGTTAGTGGATCCCATGGCACAAAAAAGTTCAGTAAATCCTAGCCAGAGACAGTCAACAAAATCACCTAGCTAAGAGAGAAGTCTCTCAAGAGAGACAAATGGAATTTATTTGTAGGCGATAATTGATATAAAACGAACTTTATGCTATAATTCTTAGACAGGTTTACCAAAATCATGTACGAGCAGTCCCTCATACCCTCCTCAGTTTACTCTATCAGGTTATTCTATTTGACCTAATTCCTATTCGATATCATGATAGTTGGCTACGATCAGTGCGCAATTTAAGGATGCTTCATGATCAGATGCTTTGTTTGTTTAATTACAATGGCATCCCTATTCTCAACCACTAAGTATGCTAAAAGATACCAACCCAAGCACCGATAACTTCTTATGGTAAGAAACATTTTTTAAACCTAATTTGGATTATAGATGACATTGCCCTTATATTGGACACTGAGAGTAGTTGACTTTTAAGATGGTTCATATGACCTCATTGTAGGGTTTATATTTTACTTGCCAACATTCCTGATGAGTAAGATTTTCATATTATTGAACAAATTTTAACGAATTTCAATGTATAGGTCTCTTTATTATATCGGATTGGATAGAATATTTCTTTTTTTCAGCTATTGTGACTATTATCGTACCTGTCGTCTATTTTTACACTTTTGACTTCAAAAATGAGTTCTCAATCTTGAATTTCTACTTGACAGGCATTAAATGTTAAGTGTTCTATGTTTTGTTGTTTACTCTCTTTGAAAAAGTGCGAAAAGAGCAGTTTGTTATTTCTTATACTAATAGTCAAACCAAAAAATTGCTTTTAAGTCTATTTAATTCAGCTCCAAATCCAACTGTCGTTGTTTCATAGGATGGATAGATCTAATTTTGTAATCAAACATTCGAAAATATGCTTTTGCAGCGACTTGGAATTAAGACACTACCTTAATCTATATATAAATTAACATCCGAAGATGAAGAGTCAACACACAAACTGAAATCCTTAATTATGGATATCCTGAAACCTTAGGGCTCAAATTTTGCTATCAATAGTACTAATTAGAATCTCAAGAACAGCGAAAATTCATTTTATGGGGGGAATTTAAACAGTGCTGCTAATAATGAAAAAACTTGCTATAACTCTGGAAATAAAAAAATTGAGATTAAAATATCTAAGTCATTAAAAAAGCAAAGCGAAGGCAAAAAACACTAGCCAGAAAAGAATAAAGAGGAAACAAAGAGCAATTCTACAATATCTGAGCGAAATTAGTTTTAAAAAGATGTTTTTGAAAGTAAAATTGATATATAATTTATTTATACTTTCCATAGGATTTGAGATTGCTTCTATTATTGGTGAGCAAGTGAACTTTGTGTCAAAGAAAACAGTGATGTTGACTTTTAATCTAATTTCTGAGCAAAAGGCAAAGAACAGATTAATTTACTTGCATTCCTAGCTGATGTTTAGATTCCTTCATCAATTTAATAAAAGACTACAGTAACTTAACTAGAGAGCAGTAAATGATGAAGACATTATGAATAATTCATCCATTGTTGAATTTTTGGGTACTACATACGTTGCTATTAATCAGGTTCAACAGATGTAACATGAGTTTTGGAGTAGAAGTGAAAATTATAAAAATCTTGATGAAAACTTTCTCCTAAGAGATGAAATAATGTAGTGTGTAGAGAGTCTATCTGTAAAATGCTTGAATGCATCAACAACTTTGAAACTTGATGCTAGTAAAAATTTGCCTGAAAAGTTAAAAGGCGATGTTTAAAGGTTCAGACTGGCTTTGCAATCAGTATCTGAGTTCTCAATGAGATATTGTACTGAAGGCAACATTGAGATAGTCATCAACTTTGATGCTATCACAACAGATGGAAATTTCTAACTTTCTTTTGATTTTACATTCAGCAAGAATCTATAATACAACGAAGAACCCCTTGTAAACTTGCTGAATATTATGTCCAAGAGTCAAAATGCTTCTTATGAAGATATTTTGCTTAAAAACTATGAGGAATTGTTCGATTTGATTTAATAATTTGGAATAGGAATGCTAATATTTCCAACTCTCATAGCATAATTAGAGGGAAACTATTCTATTACTGTAATTGACTCTGCAGAAGCGATAGAAGAGAATAAATCGGGTGATCTTTTCGGAGAATAGGACTAAGCAAGACCATTATCTTAAGCAAAGCCTGGCAAAATAAAGATCCTCTTTAAACTTGCCTTTGCAAATGGAGAGGTATCCAAGAAGGTAATGAGTCCTTATACACCAATTAATAAGACTAAATTTTCACAAGGAAATACTTATACTTATAAATCGCCAAATTTAGTTGCAAGAGAAAATAGAGAACAAGCAAAAAGTCAGATGAGAAGAATCATGGGCTAAAATAGAAGCCCACTAATTGCAGGAAGAGGAAGCTCTGCTAATGCTCCTTTAATAAGAACAGATTTTAGAGTTGACTCAATTAAATAGCAAAGTGATAATGATTAAAGCATAAACCTTTACAACATTATCCATGTCCCAAGTGGTCAAATAGAAAATTTACAAACAAATCAGGCTGAGAACTAAAGTTTTTCAAATATCTCATTCTAGCAATAGTAATAGAATAACGGTAGCTAAAATATGGGGAGTAGTTAGAATAAATATAGAAAGAATTCAGCTATGGTTACGCCAGTTGATATGAATATTGTAAAGAAAGTTGAAACAAAACTTAAGAATTTTGAGTAGAAGTAGAGCAACCCTGCCTAGGAATTCTTTAAATACTAAAACCAAATTATTCATACCAACTCAGCAAATCTTCTCAATGAAAAGGATTAGATGTAACTAACAAACTCAAGAAAAAATTCTTAATAAATCTTACCTTTAAATGCAATGCTTCAAAAGAAAGCCTCAGACTTGGCTCCTCTAGAAAATCTAGATACAGCTCATCGTGTTTAGAGCTTGAAGTATATCGCTCATCCATAGTAATTCTCTAATTCAAGTCTGCAGCCTGCTCATAACATTGATACTTAGAATTCAAGCGTTTCTCAAATGAATCAAGGAAGTTAAGATAATATTAAAGGAAATAAGAATCAAAAGAAATCAACTTTCATTAAGTTTGGGAATTTAGATGACGTTGCCTCGATGTAAGAAGCTTCAAGCAATAAGAAGGAAAATGAGATGAATAGAAGAGAAAGAGACTAGTAACTAATCAGAGCTACCTAGGAGGCAATTTTAATTCATCATAACCAATAAAACAATTAAAGCAGCAACAGCCTAATGGGAAACATAGTGCATTCACACAGCATGAATGTTGCAACGAATCAGCAGTAAATGACTGGTGCCTTCAGTCTGATAGACTCAAATAATAGGGGAATAAAGCAAAAGAATGGAAGTAATCATCAATTAAATAAGCAAATATTGGAGTAAATTGATGAAACTAAACATGAAAAACATGAAGAGGAGAAAAGAGTCAAGAATAGAGACAATTTTATTGATAGTTTTCTATTAGAAAACTAGAGTCAGCCTGAAAGCAATAAATAAAAACACAAATAAAATCTCCATAATATGAATACAAACAACTAAACCAACAATCAAGAGCTCTAAAACTTGGGAAATATTTCCAGAGTTAGCAGTAAAAGCTTTAAGGTTGCAAGAACAATCAATCCTCAGGAAATAGAGAAGTAAGATCCATTTTCTCATATGATCCATATCAAGCCACGCAGAGTCACTAACTAAAACCAAATGTTGAGATAAACAGAGTAAGAGAATTAAAACTTTGAGAGTGATGATCTGAGAAAAGTGCTCTCATTCGGTTAGGGAATATCAGGAAGGTAAAATAAAAAGCAGAGAGCAGATGAAAACGCCCAAAATTTATTTGTTTAGAACTAAATACCAAGCAATAGAAATCATCACAGTGACAATGCACTTGCTTAGAACTTTTAGAATAATAGCCAACATAATCTACTTAGCTAAGATGTTTCAAATGTTAAATCAAAGGATCATATGTAATAATAGCCTCTCAATTTTATCTAGGATCCTTGCTGCCTTCAGGATATTGAATATATGTAATAAGATCAATCTAACATGCTCAGGTTTGGCGAGCAATCCCCAATAATTCTGGAAACAGATGGCTTAGAGAACTTTAACAGTGAGTAGATATCCGAGGATGACACTAGTGAAATACTCGCCTAGCTTTCATAATAAATGCAAGATGACTCATACTTGAAAAATAACTTAGAAGAGGAGAAGGTGCCATACAACTTCCATTAGTAGAACTATAACGATAACAGTTTTGAATACGAAAACATGATGGGAAACAATAAAAATAATCAATCTCAGGATGTCAGAGGTAGAATGCTAAGCAAAGGAAAGAGAAAAGAAAAATTCAAGCATGAGCCACTCTCAAAGCACATCCCCAAGGATATCCTAAATACTAATAATACTTATGGAGCTTCCAAGAATCTTCTATCAGCAGGAAGATAACCAGATAAAGATTCTTAGTACTTTCAAATCTATCCAGAGAGATAGAGCAATAACAATCCTCAAATCTCTCTTGCTCAAGATTCCTCTCCGGATAATCGCAGATTCATAACTCCTGATTAAAGAGGCCACAACAGATAGAGCTCAATCAATGATGAGCAGCCTTGTTAGAAACCTGGCAATGAAGAAAGACTGAGGAATAGCAAGTAGGGGTATGTTCTCGAGCCTGAGGAATATTTCCCCTACAGAAGGGGTTAAAAAACTTTGTAATACTAGCACTAACTCATGAAGCAGGATTTCGATGTCCAAAACTAAATTGTAACTTGGAATAACGACGCAATCTGATAATTACAGAATGAATGGGAAAAGCTATACCAGTTTTATCAGCCAAACTTAGGTGATGGGTCCTTCATTCCTCCTGGCGCTAGCGATATTAATGATAAGATTAAGACCTTCGTAGACAATAAGAGATATGTTCTTGTAGCTGAGGATAACAACATGATGTCTGAGATAATGCAAATGATCTTAAAATCTATTGACTACGTGCCCATTGCAGCATTGAACGGAAAGATAGCAGTAGAGAGATTTACAACTTTTTTGAAGGATGGGTAAGGACATTAATGTGTTAATTTATTTATTTGTAGTATGTTCTTTGATTTAGTGCTGATGGACATATTTATGCCTGAAATGGGAGGTTACGAAGCAACTGAAAGGATTAGAAAACTAGAGGAAGATTTCCGCATTCCCTTAAAAGACAGGCATTACATTTGTGGCTTCTCAGCTGAAGTTGATGAAAGTAAGAATTAATTCTACTCAATAATTATATACAGGAACCACTGCTAAGAGTCTGCAAGCGGGCATGAACGAATTAAAGAGCAAGCCAATGTCTAAGGATGAACTAGAAAAACTTCTGAACAAATGTAAAAGGAATCAAAGATAAGGCATTGATGAGACTCTTATAAATGTGGACTTACCATCAAGAGATCTAATGCTAGATTAAAGGGATCTAACAATTTTACCAGGTAGAGGATTTAGATGAAAGACTAAAATATATAAATCAAGATCTTATAAGTTAAATCATTATTATTCTCCTCTAAATTTAATTTCATTAGTTGAATAAAATATGATTTTTCAGCCAATAATTTCGGAGAATGGGGTTTTGGGGTTTTGGGGTTTTGGGG